TCATTCATAATTTATTTGCTTCTCTTTTTCACTGTTACATAAAAAAAGAGCTTGAAATAATCAATCCATATTATGGAGACATTACCAGTCTAGATAGTTGACAATTCATCCATTATTGGAGGGGAGGGGGGAGTTATTATCTTAATTTGCTTGTTTTCAAAGAAATAATAATTTAGATTTTGCAAAACAGTTCTAAAAAAATTTCCCACAAACAAAATCCTGATGGACTGATTATCCTAATGCCAACTTCCAACTCAAACCATATATTATTGTTATATAACCCTTGGGAAAAAAAGAAAGCAAGGGTACATAATAAATCTTTACTGCTATGAGTTGCAACAGGCCTACAGAATCCTGCCTGATGAAAAACTGAAAACACAGGTTAATGGTATGTTGATCTTTATTCTTTGTCCACACTACTTCAAATGGACTAAAGTATAACAACTTCAAAGCATTTGGTCTCTGGTGAAAGAGAGGCAGAAATGTTTATAAATACACTGTAAGGCTACGTCTACATTGGCCCCTTTTCCGGAAGGGGCATGCTAATTTTTCAGATTGTAATAGGGAAATCCACGGGGGATTTAAATATTCCCCGCGGCATTTAAATAAAAATGTCCGCCGCTTTTTTCGGCTTTTAGAAAAGCCGGAAAAGAGCGTCTACACTGGCCCCGATCCGGCCCGATCCTCCGGAAAAAAGCCCTTTTCCGGAGGATCTCTTATTCAAAGTAGGAATAAGAGATCCTCCGGAAAAGGGCTTTTTTCCGGAGGATCGGGCCGGATCGGGGCCAGTGTAGACGCTCTTTTCCGGCTTTTCTAAAAGCCGAAAAAAGCGGCGGACATTTTTATTTAAATGCCGCGGGGAATATTTAAATCCCCCGCGGATTTCCCTATTATGATCTGAAAAATTAGCATGCCCCTTCCGGAAAAGAGGCCAATGTAGATGAGCCCTTAACACTTTTATGAGTTCTCTGAAAGAGAAGGGTTTAGTATGGATCTGGCGATAGCAGAAATGTGATGACACCTACAGAAAAATATATTTCTTACACATCAATGCTCTGCCATGAGGGCTTATAGCAGAGGGCCTTTGAGTGCAAAGCTTTGTGCCCTGGCTCAGAGAGAAAGATGTTTTGACTGACAAAGCAATGGGCTTAAACTGCAGCAAGGGAGGTTTAGGTTGGACATTAGGAAAAAGTTCCTAACTGTCAGGGGGTACTTCCACGAGGAGTACAGCTAGTCGGATTAGGAAGCCTAATCCGAACTAGCTACTCCGTGCCGCGTGTAGCCGCGCGGCACGGGGTTCGAACTGCCGGCATTTAAAAATGGCGCCGGCCGGCTTTATGCAAATGAAGCCCGGGAAATTCAAATCCTGGGCTTCATTTGCAATTGCGGTATGCCTACATTACCCTCCTATTTCGAATTAGGAGGGTAGTGTAGACATACCCCAACTCTCTTCAAGCTGTGCATATTTCCTTTAGTTAAAAGAAGTTGTTTAAAATACACTGATTTTATGGTCAACCCAGGTAGAACCATTGTATGTAGCAAGGGAACTCTCCCAGAAGGAACATCAGAACTCACAGAAACCATTCCCAACCAACTCATGACACAACTGGCAAGTTTCCTCCGGGATTCAACTGAGGCTACGTCTACACTGCGGCAGTTTTTCAGAAGAGGTAATGCAAATCTTGCACTCTCATTTGCATATTCTCTTCTGATCTTTTTGTGGAAGAGGTTTTTGTGATAAAAAGCCCTGTGTAGATGGGGCCATTTGTCAGAAAACCCCCGTTTTGTGCAAGATCCCTTATTCCTCAAAAAATGAGGTTTATAGGATCTTGCGCAAAATGGGGGGTTTCCGACAAATGGCCCTGTCTACACAGGGCTTTTTATCACAAAAACCTTTTCCACAAAAAGGATTGGAAGAGAATATGCAAATGAGAGTGCGAGATTTGCAAATGAGAGCTCCATTTGCATCTCCTCTTCTGAAAAACTGCCACAGTGTAGACGTAGCCTGTCTTCAGAAACTACAGAATTAGCAGTGTTTGTCAGGACAAGATATTTGTTACCTCCCTATAAACAGTCCTCACAATAACAGCATAGCTGTCTGTTTCAAATCTATAAGATAACAGTCAACACTCAGATATTCACTCCAGATACAATTGCCAAACCCCTCCATTCCATCTTCATCCACAACAATTTTACACTCAACAACACACACTTTATCTAAACCATAGTTATAGCCATTGGTACTATGATGGCTCCATAATATGCCAACCTCTTCAGGGGCCGTCCTGAGGAAGAGTTTCTGGACAAAAGTATCATGGAACCAATACTACACCTGAGATACATTAATTATATTTTCATCCTGTGGACAGATGACTTAAATTCCTTCATCTATTTTTACAAGTTCAGCAACCACTACCATCCATCAGATTCTCTCTGTAACATTTCCTCTCTATCATCTTCCTGAACACCATAATCAGCTACAACAGTGGAACTCTACAGATAAGAACATACAAAAAAACCTATTGATTACCACATTAACCTTCAAAAATCTAGTGACCACCCCAAAGACACCAAGAAATTAGTTATCTATAATCAGGCATACATATACACAAAACATGTTCTGAGGAGAAAGATCAACATGCCTTAGCACACTTAAAACAAACTTCATCAAACAAGGCCACTTCACCAAAGAATCAGAACTCACCCCTAGAATGGACCACTCAAATAAACTGAGACAACCTGCTTCTATATAGAAACAAACATTCCCTCTACCCGTGCAACCATCCCTCCATTCGTCACCTAACATTACACACTGAAAGCCAAGCAGTTACATTTAAACAGTTTACAACTCATGTTCAGTGGGGACCATGTTCTGAAATAAATCTTTTCTGAACCCCCACTTCTGGCCTTCAAATAATGCACCAACTTTTCTAAGCTCATCATCAGAAGCAAGCTCCTCACAGACCACACCAGCCATCCCAAAGTGGAACCAAATGCTGCGATGAGAGGTTCAAAACCTGAAGCTACAATGATCACTACTCCTTGCAACACACCTTTCAAGATCCATGAGTCCTATATATACCTATCACACTGGTGAACCTCGTAAGTTTAAATAAATGCCCTCAAACAACAATCATCTATTTGAAACAAGATAATCACTATACCCTGGAATGAACTTACACAGAAAAATAAGGGACAAAAACACATATCAGCCATCATTTAATATTTTTCAAAAAACAATTGCTCCATATCTGATCTCTCAGTCCTTGATCTCAAAGGAAACCTGCACAATACCTTCAAAATGAGTCTGAATTTTAGATTAATAACTTCTCTAGACACCAAAAATCATGGTCTTAATAACAATATGTCCAGTGCCTTTGTGGACTTCCCCTTTTTTGTGTGCTCTAACTACAAAGGTGTTAATAGGACAATTCGTCATGAGTTGTGTCTTAGAATGTGTGTTAGCTGCTTATGCTAAAAATCTGTTCCACTTCCTATTTAGACATGAAACTGAGTAACTTTGCCAGACCTGAAGAAAAACTCTGTGTATCTTGAAAGCTTGTCTCTTTCACCAACAGAAAACGGATCTAATAAAAGATATTACTTCACCCACCTTGTCTTTATAGTATCTTGGCACTAACTCTAGAATAACCAGGCATGTTCATCATTCATCCTGGAATATTCTTCTATGGGGAAGGTGTGGGGATTGGTGCTCACGAGAGGCACCAGTCAAATCTCTTTTTTGGCAACTAATTTTGCCCCTGTGCTGATGAGATGAAAAACTCCTAACATGAGTCAGGCTCTCATGGTATATGACAGAATCATAGGCTGTGTCTACATTGGCACCCTTTTCCGGAAAAGGGATGCTAATGAGACCAGTCAGAATCGCAGCTTTTCCGGAAAAGGGATGCTAATGAGACCAGTCGGAATTGCAAATGCCACGGGGGATTTAAATATCCCCCGTGGCATTTGCATGAACATGGCTGCCGCTTTTTTCCGGCTTTGGGTTTTGCCGGAGAAAAGCACCAGTTTAGATGGGATCTTGCGGAAAATAAGCCCTTTTCCGGAAGATCCCTTATTCCTACTTAAAAGTAGGAATAAGGGATCTTTCAAATAGGAATAAGGGATCTTCCGGAAAAGGGCTTATTTTCCGCAAGATCCCATCTAAACTGGTGCTTTTCTCCGGCAAAACCCAAAGCCGGAAAAAAGCGGCAGCCATGTTCATGCAAATGCCACGGGGGATATTTAAATCCCCCGTGGCATTTGCAATTCCGACTGGTCTCATTAGCATCCCTTTTCCGGAAAAGGGTGCCAATGTAGACACAGCCAGAGAGTGTAAAGCCAGAAGGGACTATTGTGATAATCTAGTCTGAATTTCTGCGCATTACTTCCCACTGAACACCTGAAATAGACCCATATACTGAGTTACTGAAGTGTTCAAATCATGATTTAAAATCTTAAAATGACAGAGAATCTACCATTTACTCTAGCTTAAAACAGAAAATGATCCATGCAGCAAAGGTAGGTGAAAAAACTCCAGAATCTCTGCCTAGTTAATCTGGGGGAAAATTCCTTTCCAACCCCAAATAGACTGATCGGTTAGATTCTGAACATGTAGTCAAATCAAGGAGGAAAAGCAGGAAACCTCTGGACAACAATTATTTACTTTAGAACTAAAGGAATGATCCAACTCTCTCCTTTAAAAGAGAAATGCTGTGATGTTCACTGCCCTTTAACAATGGCGTTGACCAAGTGGTTTATTATGAACCCAGAACCCTCACTGCAATTAGATTCATTATACACATGGTCATATATTGTTGTCTTCATTCATCTCCTAAATCACATACAGACCTTAAACTGAATGGCACTCAGTGTACTGAGCAGTCAGGAAGACTACTGTGAAACAAAGTGCTAGAAATAAATTTGGGATGTAAAGTTTCTGGGTTCTCCACTACAAATAACACTTTTTCAAAACAGTTCTCCCTCTGGCTTGTACATACCCACAATTCCAGCCATAAGCTCCACGATGCACTCATCTCCTAAAGCCCATGGGCGCTTGCCATTGAAATGACCATGAATACCTCTGAAAAGGAAGAGAAACAAATGATGAAAATGTAGGCTGTTCTCTTTGATACATTGCTTAGAGCAATAACTCAGTCCTCCTCAGTATGGGGCTTGTATAATCTGAACACACTACATTGATTGTATCATATGAGCTCCTAACAAATAGAGTTACCAACAAACAATGGATTTATTGACATCTAACAGGGGTTTTAAAGACTCGAAAACATCTTATCCAAAATCTTGTTCAACAAATAAATAAACCTGAAAGTGGATGTTTAGAAAACCACAAAGGGCTAGATAACAGCTTTGTCACAAACCCTCTATAGAGGGGGAACATCTGTTGCACTTTCTCAGAAGTGGACTGGGTCTGGGTGTAAGATCTGGACGTGGTGTGTGTGTGTGTGTGTGTCTGTGTGGGGGGTGTAGGTAGAAGGGAAGTAATCTGTCCCAGCCATATAACTGGCATAAATGTGCTGATTGGTGCACTAGAGCAGTCACTTCCCATTCCATCCCACCAACTCCACACAAACCGGGGGGGCACACACTAATGACCCTGCAAAGCCGCTTTCCCACCTGCACTGCTAACAACAATCATGGTAGCCAGCACAGGAGAGTTCCCCTTTCTTTTGTGAATGCTGAATAGCATAAGCCACAGTCTTGTCCAAAGGTGGCATTTACATTGAAGAGGGGCTATGTAGGGTGCAAGAGGAAGGACAGGATTTCCTACTCTTAGGTAACAGCAATCCTTGCTTCTTTCTGCCTCCTGAAAAATTTACAGCTTCTTTCTGCCTCCTGAAAAATTATTTAGACCCATAGAACTCCAAATCTAAATATCCACTGAATTTCTAAATCACATTTTGAAAATGATTCCTCTCTTTATGGGGACCAAAACCAAGCCTGTGGAGCATTTGGAATCTACATCTGAATCTCAACTATGTGGCTTGAAATTATCCCAGCTATGAACACTGCAAAAACAGTTTGTAAAGTAAGCAACTTATTTATAAATCTTTACATGTAATATTGTGAAGGTTTAATTACAAAATAAATCAATATATGGAAATAATATTGGTGTTAATTTGGGGAAATGTTATTCCTGGACTCCACTCTTGCAGCTTTTTTTTTTTTTTTTTTTCTGAAAGCAACTATGGAATCTGAAATACCAGAGAGCACAGAAAAAAGAATTAAGCTGCTTCAGAAGAACTAGACCAGTAGGGAAATAGGTGCAGCACAGTGGAACTAGAAGCTGTGACAAAAGTAAAAAAGAACTGTTGTCTATATAAACCTTCAGAATTACTTATGGTGTTCCCCCAAACTCAGGGGAGCCTTCTGGCATATTATTTAATCAGCAAACAAGCTGTATGAACCAGCCACCAACTTGAAAAGGGCTTTTACCCTTTCACACTTCTTTAAAATGTTTTCCCCAAACAACTCCACACCTTCCCCAGATCAGTTTTCATCCTACAGCACCCCTTTTCCACACAGATATCCACTTTTTATAATCCTCTGGTTTCTGACTGACATTAGCCATATTTGCATGTCATAGAGCAATGCCTAGATTTGGAAACACTGGTTCAGAGTAAAGAATGCTTTGTGAACAAAAGAAAACCCCATGTTACCCTTCTCATTACCACTCTGCTCAGGATAAGCAAACACCTGCACTGGTGCCAGTGTAGATGCATAATGGAGGAAAGATGAGGAAATACATTGCCATCTCCCCCATTTTGCTTACAAGCCATGCAATCTGGCCCTAAAACATTAAATGAGAAGAACTCTAATCCTGAAACCATAAGAATTCACTTCCCCTAATTATCATTGGCTGGCTTGAAGCATCTTTTCCCAGCCTTAAAATTAATTCCCAGAGAAATAATTCTAATGGGAAATAGGCACTGTTCTTATAGGTAAATAATAGATGATAGATAGATCAGAATGAGGAAACTGAGGCAGGGGTGTTAAGAGACCAGTGATTTTTTAGCAGAAGTTAGTGTCAGAGCTAGGAAGATTAACATTAAGGAATTCCCAGGTTAGGCTCAGTCCATAAAACAATTTTTCTCTGTCTCTGTGCAGCGGATAACAGGTAGAAAACCATCACTAATTTCCCTTCAAAACTTATCTTTATGGAAAGTAGAAACGCTATAGCAATACAGATTGTTTATGGGAAAATAGAAGGATTTCCCTTGGGCTGAATTACATCCCTGTCCTCACTGGATTTGCAGTTCTAAAAAGGGCATGCGAGATATGGCTAAGTGGAAAGTGACAACAACCTATGGGATTTTCTTCCCTCTTTTTCTTTCTCCTGTCAGTATTTATTAAAGCCCTCCTAAAGTGAACTTATTGGTAATACAATTCCAGAACTAATTTCCAGTTTACCCAGAAAACTGATTTGGACTTTGAACACTTTTATATTTCTGGGGAAAAAAACACATGAAAATAAAAGCATAATGGAGCATAAGAAAGGTGGCATTAATTATTTTTACTCATATTATTATGCAACAGCTTTCAACCTGTCTCTTTCCTGATGGCCAACATAAATGCTAGGAGACAAAAATTATTACAGCTAAAATGGTACTTACAGGCATATTCTTGGCTCCTTTTTTATTTTAATTACATGGAACTCTGTAGCCTTTGCTGATGGCACAATACATTCTGTTACACTTAGGTTGTAAAAATTCTATGCTCTGCCTCAGAGAATTTATCTTTCTGCATATTATGCCACCCCATTCCCAAGTCTAGTAGATACTGAGGATAATAATATTTAAGGATACAGTAACAACTGCAGTGCTCATGGCATTCCACTCATTGGACATCAGACATAGATAGCCTACTGTCTCATTTTGTTTCCATTTTCCCCTTAGGTAGTAACAGAGATTTAAATGAAGGTACCCAAATAAATGAATATGTATGTGGTTCATCAAAGCACATGAAAAAAAAGCTGATGCACACAGAACCATGCATAGATTACAATGAGAGTTTCCAACTGAGAAAATTAATATTTATGCAGTTGCTGTCTAGCTGCAATTTGGTATGACATCATAATGCCACTTTTTGGTTGTTAGATCTGTAGGGGGCTCTCCCTCAGATGACAAAGTTCATCAGGGACATAGTGAACTCATTTTCTCACATGATCTGTGTTTTAAAGATAGAAACTAAAATGATTTAATCAGCTTCCAACTTCAAGGGTCCTCCAACCTTCTACAAGAGAGACAGAGGGAGAAAAAGATAATCTTTTCCTTTCCCAATCATCTACAAACATAGTGAAGAATCATCCTTTGCCAGTGTTTAATGCCATTTATTTTATGAGCCATACAGATCTTCAAATTTTGATTATACTTTCAACTACATAAAGTAAGAAATGTATGGATATAAGAGTTATATGGAGCATTCTCATCTATGTGGTATTTACTGTGTTTAAGATGTACAGGTCCTAAAGATTAACAGGCCTAGAAGATTCTGGGTACAGCACTTGACTTTCCTCCATCAGTGTTAACAAGTAGATTGGTTGATATGCCTTGAACCTTGTTCTGGAAGACTATTTCTGTGGACATGAGGTTGCTTCATTCTTCATAGCTATGTCCAGTCCCACTGTTGATAACGCTGCAGCTCCATTGGTAAAAGTAATGGTGTGATCACTTCAATAGCCTTAGATTATTTGTGATGCATGAACCAAGAAATAAGTCTGGTAGAATGCCAATGACTGAAGTATTGCACTGATTCAGATGTTATCATAAAGCTGCCTCAATTATGCATGAGGCAAAGAGGAGATTCTCCATCTTCACTAAAGCATCTACCATCTGGACCCAGGGGAAGGAGCGCCTTGAAGAATTTTACCAGGATTTCAGCAATTTTGACCCTACCATCAATTTCAGCTTCAACTGGTCCACACAGGACATCAACTTCCTGGGCACTATAGGACAAATAAGAGATGGTCACATGAATACCACTCTATGCCAGAAACCTACTGACCTCTATACTTACTTACACACCTCCAGCTTTCATCCAGGACACATCACATGATCTATTGTCTACATCCAAGCCCTAAGATATAACCACATTTGCTCCAATCCCTCAGACAGAGACAAACACCGACAGGATCTCTATCAAGCATTCTGAAACTATAATACCCACCCAGAGAAGTGAATAAACAGATTGATAAAGCCAGACAGATACCCAGAAGTCAACTACTACAAGAAAGACCCAACAAAGAAAGCAACAGAACACCGCTAACTATTACCTTCATCCCCTATCTAAAACCTCTCCTACCCATTAAGGATCTATTACCGATCATGGATGACAATCTCTTGCTGTCACAGACGCTGAGAAGCAGACCAATCCTCACTTAAAAACAGACCCACAACATGAGAGAAATCCTCACCACCAACTTCACACTCCACAGAAATGCTAATCCAGGAACCTATCCCTACAACAAACCCCATTGCCAACTCTGTCCACACATCTACCCTAATGACATCATCACAGGACCTAACCACATCAGCTATACCATTAAAGCCTCATTCAATATGCGGAGAATTGTTTGAATAAATCAAAATAAATAATAAAGGATTCAGGAATAAATAAATAACAAAGGGTTCAGAAAGAGGATAGGAAGATTAAACCGGTGAAGGAGAGTGGGGAAAGTGGATGTAGGGGAAGAAAAGGAGAGAGAGGGACCACTGGAAAGGAGAAAGGGATGGATCAAGACTTGGAGCAAGTTAGAAAGGGGCAACATATTATAGGAGGAGAACCAAGGCAAGAAACAAGTTTCTAGTCTTTTCCCAGAACCTAATATGTCTGGTTCTGAATTACATACATCTATGTATATTTGCTATTCTGCCTCTGATTGCAGCTAAAGATCCTTTGCTACACTTGCTTACTTGAAAAACAACCAAGGCACTACAATGTGTGCGCACTATTTGAATGGTCTAGTTTTGAAGTTTATTGAAAGGTGATACAAGACACTAACAACAGATAGAAAAGGTGAAGTACTGCTTTACAAGATAGCCAAAATCCTTGAGATTATTTTTT